AGCCCGATAGGCTGTGGTAGTGTCGCTGAGCCTGAAGACAAAGATGAAGAGATGATCGATGATCGGTGAACTAATTACTTACTTAGCCAGGCTCTAGATACAAAAGCCTGTTGTGATTTAGCACCTTTTGAAACCTGTCCCTAGTTAGGATTCTAGCTTCATGAAGAGTCTAATTATGTTCCTGTAAGTCAGCATGAAGCTCAAGTTAGTTAGCCCTCTACAATCTGACATTGGTTGCTGTCCTGGAAAATTTCTTTCCCTCCCATTCGAAGCGACCTAACTCACAGAGTCAGGAATTTGTTTTTATACAAAAGTAGAGATGCAGAGAATAGCGCACCATTGTTATTTCTAATATATTTATGAATATTAATTATTCATCATCTCTGAATCGCCCTTGTTATGTTGAGACGAGCAGACAGAATGTGGCTATTAAGGAGGTAGATGGCGTCTGAAGTCCGCCTAATGTCATCAGTAGACAACTAGACATGCTCTTCTGACAGCGTTGCAATGAATCCATTTTGTTAAGGTAGTCAGTGTATTTGTCTCTTTATAAGATTTCCTGGTTATGTTATTCTTGTTAACTGAAGAGAAAACCAATGACTAAAGCCAGACATGTTGGCAGTCTTTATAAACCTAGATCATCTTATGTGGATCCATGATTACATATCTGGTGATATGGAAATAGCCTGGGTTATCTTTGAAATCAGTGGAATCTTCATCTGCGGGCCATTTAGAAAGAGGTCTTGCATATAGATGTGACTGTCAACCTTGTTCAACTACACCTGGGGCACAACTAGGCTATAGTGATGACGCACCGGCATATATTAACTAATAATGTTTATAGTACTAGTTTGTTACTAGTCACCTGGCAAGGAGAGTCTTCCATAATACAGATAGTATGTGTTGCATCAAGACTTATTTAATACAGTAATTCACATGGAATTTAGAGGCTGCCTGAACATTTACATTATAGGGTGCCAACATTAGATAAGATGACGATCATATACAGGCACATGGATGGACAGATCATACATTCAGTAAAATTAAGATATCTCGGGACCTTACATAAGATGCTTTGAGAGAAGCTCTGCGGCTGGGTTCAGGCACTTGATTTATACCTCTCCCATGATTGTGATTGCTTTTAAAACTGTTGTGATTCAGAGGAAGATTAATTGTTCTTCATATCAGAAAGCATGAGGATTTATATACAAGATGAATATCAGATTGATTAGAAATCAATCTGATTCCATACGGAATAAATTCTGTATACAAAGCTCTATTGTCTACTTGATCAAGCCTTGATTCACAACACCCGATAGTGTGAACACGTCATGACAGAACTTACTATCAGGAATCAATTCAGGCACTCGGGCAGCCGGTTAGGAAAATATACTCTAGTCGTTGCCAGAAACAGAAAGCTATTCAAAGCGTAACTAGCCGGTCAGTGCCTAGACAATGATTGTATGTTTCTGGTTCACGGCCCTTGTGATGTTGCAGCTAAACTACTGAGAGATCCAGACCTTATCCTTTCCTTATTACCGTTAAATAAGAGCAGCTATTTCGCAGTAGTTGTAGTATGTACAAAAGTACTCTCTGGACGGTGGGATCGCCAGGCTGATGGGAACCATAGTAGTGAACTATAGTAGTTTGATGGGCCAAATGTAACTTCAACTTGCGGACAGAGTTTCAACGAGGAATCCAGCAGCCATCTTAGCAACTGGTAGCTCTAACATATCAGCATTCATTGTGTAACATCAGAGTGAGACAGCAGGGATGGTATGCAGCCACTACCTGGGGATACCATAAGCTGCAGTGGCAGGTATTCATCAGGTATTTCTACCCCTTTCATCTGCGTCTCATCCTGTCTTTTACCCTGTCTTTTACCCTATCTTCTACTCTGACTTCTACCCTGTCTTCTATCAGCACTAGTTTAACCTAGTGTATAACTCTACTAGTCGAATAGATCTTGCTAACACTCCCCATTCAAAGCTAAACCAGGCTACTGATTTCGAGAGCTGCCAAGATGCGATCTCTCTCTGTGCTTTCCACTGCAGCACTACTGGCACTTGCCACGGTGCCTGGCAGTGCATTCGACTACAACATTATTTATCCTCAACAACAAAAAGAAGCCTTTGATACGACTGAAGTACCCCGAGCTCCCCTTCCCTGGGGAAAGGTCAACTTTCTGCACACAACGGATACTCATGGATGGCTCGATGGGCACGCGAATGTACCCAGCTGGGGTGCTGACTGGGGTGACTTCGTTTCCTTTGTCACGCACATGAAAGATAAAGCCTTACGCAAGAAGGTAGATCTTCTTCTTATCGATAGTGGTGAGTTATCTTTGATGTCAGTGTGTTTTACTTTGAGAAGAATCTCTGATGTTGAAGCGGTCACCTTTCCTTCTCCTAGGAGACTTCCATGACGGTGGCGGCCTCAGCGACAGTACAAGCCCTAAAGGAGCTGTCTCAGACAGTATCTTTGAGAACATTGATTACGATATTTTGACCGTTGGTAACCACGGCGTTCGAACCGGCGCAGAAGCGCTAAACATCCACCAAAACCTATCGAGAGTCTTTGGTGACCGATTTCTCACAAGTAACGTCGATGTAAAAGAAAATGGGATACTTAAATCAATTGGCAATCGATATCGCGCTTTCCAGACGGGAAATGGGTTACGGATCGTGGCGTTTGGAGTCACTGTCAACGACCCTGTCCTCAGGGATCTAAATAATACAGAGGTGTACAGCGCGGGCTGGATATTCAAACAAACGTGGTTCCAGGAAGCCATGAAGAAAGAGGCTGACCTCTACGTGCTTGTCGGTCATGCGCCTACCTACGCTTCTTGCCTGGATCCTAAAAAGGATAACCCTCTGGTGTGTCTGCGTGATAGGATCAGGAATTCCACAGATAAGCCTATTCAGCTCTTCGGGGGCCACGCTCATCATCGAAACTTCACGTGTTATGATGACAGGTCCTCAGGTATTGAATCTGGCAAGTATTGCGATACCGTGGGATGGGTGGCCTTGAACAACGTGTCATCACCTACCTGGTCTGGTGCGAAGGCACTGCTCGGTGACGAGCCCCATCCGAACAAGTCCTGCGCCGTAGGCAATCAAGGAGATATACAGGACACCCCTTATCTTCTAGATCGCCGATACCTGGACTGGAACCGTGTAACGTTTGCGTACCATACGGTAAACCTGGAAGGAGACACCGGCAACCCGTCTGTACCAGCATCCTTCGATACGCCCCTGGGCCGCAAGGTCACCGACGATATCAGCAAAGCCCGACATTTACTCAACTTAACTTACTTCCTAGGCTGCGCGAAAGAAGACTACTGCTTCAATTGCAAGAAAGTGGGACAGGACGGCAATATCTATGAGCTCCTAAAGGTTGCCCTCGCTGATACAGTTGTCAAGAAAGAGCGGGCACACCTTGCGCGGGTCGTGATTTCCAATGACGGTACAATCCGGGATAATATTTACCAAGGCCCTTTCACGACTGGGGACGCTTATGCTGTCGTGCCCTTTCCGAATTATTTCCAGTATATCGCGAATATGTCATGTCATAATTTTAAGAAGATGGCTTCAAATTTGCAGGCAAAGCAAGACGTTTCCTGCATCGATGACGGCGACCACAATGATTCCTCTGTAATTGACGAAGAGGTTCATGGATCCCAGCCTCAGTCACACCTGGAACTCCGGAGCATATTTGATGATCCTAGTTATCATCAGGCTACTTTTTCTTACAGTCTCGAACAACGAAACAGAGAACGGAAACAATACAGCCCAGGGTACACAACGCACGATGCCTTAGGCAACGACGGAGACGACACGCTACACTCTCCTGTTATCGAGGACGAAAGATACATGAAACTGTTCTGGGCAAATGCCAGCTTCCCGAACCTGTCTCATTACCCGCCCTCATTTGATGTGGTTTTCACCCACTACCTCACGAAGAGAATACTCGACGCTCTTAATAAAACCGGAGCTCCATATACGGAGAAGGATGTCATCGATTACCTGCCGCGGGCATATACTAGTAGAGAGGTCCTTGTTGACTATACTGCGAGGAATTGGGACCAGGATAGGGAGAACTGTCCTATTCGGAGGCCGGGGGATCGTTAGCTATCCAAGTGGAGGAATTGCCTAGGTTGCCACCAGGGCAGAGGATTATGGTAGATTTCTCCGTTGAAAAGATGTGCTTTGACTTTTTGAACTCTCCAGATCTCCTCACAGCCCAGGGATTTAGAGATCATACATGATATTGAAATCTAACTTGAGTTAGATTTGGTTCGGGCCTTTGAGGAGGTTTGTGAATTAGAGAAGGTTATCTTTGGTGAGCTCTTAGCTAAGTTATTAGGTGTAGACCAGGGCTGCCTAATAATGCTTTCTATACTAAGTAGAGTTGCATAACCGAACCGCTAAAATCGAATCCGACCCTCACCGAACTCGCAGCGGTGAGGGTTCGGTTCCTAGCCTAGGGAACCACACTGGTTTCGATTTCTCTTGGCACCGAATTGAAACCATTCGGTTAAACCGTTATGGTTTTTAAGGTTTTATCCGCCAAGGTTAACCAACCTGCACCTTTTTGCTTAGTAATCACTAATTTCAGGGATTTCTCTAGAAATACTAATATCACTAGATAGTTTAGTATCTAGTCTATCTAGAAATGAAATATTGATTCAAAATACCTAGTGGTTTTGGTGAGATATAAGCGAATAATTATTTTTATCAGGGGTTGGTATGAAAGTAGTGATGGTTTATATATATGTGCATTAACCTATGACAATCATGTCACACCCTGGGATCCGTCTCTGCTGTTCCTGCTAGTCACTAACCTTGGGAGCGCACAATATAGTCCATGGACTATATCCGATACTCGCCTGGGGTCTAGTGACCAGGTCAATCATTTATAGTACTCTTTGTAAAGATGTTGGCAAGCGGGCGAATTGGAACAATCGGTAGGATCTCCAGCAAGAAGACCAAAGGGAAAAAATGTCACGTTCTCCCACGGAAGAATCTGATCTTGAAAAGATCGCCATAAGAACGCCCCAAGGTGGCGAATCCCCGCACCAAGGGCATGAGGCCGGTGTGAAACCAGATGGCCGGGAATTGGTGGAATGGGATGGCCCTGATGATCCTCAGAATCCGCAGAATTGGTCTCTCTTGCGGCACTGGTGGATGATTGGATTGGTTTCAGCAGTCACCTTCAATATGTATGCCTTGAGACGACCGTGAGAGTCCCAATTGCGCTCCATTATGGGGCCGAGAGCTAATGGCCGCAATGCAACCAATGCAGCTCGATGGCATCAACCGTGACGGCGCCTGCAGTGCCTCTGATTATGGAACGGTTCAAGAACAACAGCTCGGAGCTAGAATCCTTTGTAGTTTCGGTATGCATCATTGGATTCGTATTTGGGCCCTTAGTTGTCGCGCCGCTGAGTGAGCTGTACGGCCACGCAGTCATTTTGCACACGACCAACATCCTCTTCCTTGTCTTTACTATTGCTAGCGCCGTGAGCACCAATCTCGGCATGTTCATCGCATTCCGACTGCTCATGGGCCTCGTGGCCTGTACCCCCTTAACACTAGGAGGTGGGTATATTGCCGATCTCATGACCGCCGAGAGTCGTGCAAGGGCTTTAAGCATCTGGATGATGGGACCTTTATTAGTATATACCTCTTCATCGCTACTGGATAATATGTGATCATTCTAACAGAATGCAAGGGCCCCGTGTTGGGTAGATCATACTCATTTCCCTGGTTCTAGTTCGTTTTTGTTCGCTAATTTTGTACGATGGACAGGGCCTGTTATTGGAGGTTATCTGGCCAAAGGGGCTGGCTGGCAGTGGGTTTTCTGGCTTGTTGCCATTCTGGTGAGTCTCAAGCTTTCATTCTTCGTGTTTCTTTCCTCGGTGGCTAACTATATGACACAGTCCGGAGTATTGACAATCTTATGCCTTGTTTCCATCCCCGAGACGTACGCTCCTGTCCTCTTGATCCGGAAAGCAGCGCGCTTGCGAAAGGAGACCGGCAATCCCAAATTGCACTCAGTATTTGATAACCCGAAAAGTCCCTTGTGCACTTTTGCTACGGCCATCTTTCGGCCGACGAAAATGCTTCTCTTTGCCCCCATTGCCACGATAATGGCTCTTTATATAGCCTTGATCTACGGCTACATGTATCTGCTCTTCACAACCTTCACCTTCATCTTCATCGACCAATATGGCTTTAATTCTGGACAAGCCGGCCTCGCATATCTCGGAGTCGGCGTAGGATCCATCCTGGGCCTTTCTGCCACCGGGTTTTACTCCGATGCCATTGTCAAGAAGAAGAGACAGGGGGGTGTTTCCAAACCGGAAGAACACCTTATCCCTTTGATCTTCGGTGCTTTTCTAGTTCCGATGAGCTTCTTCTTCTACGGCTGGGCCGCTTATTACAAGATCCACTGGATTGTGCCCATTATTGCAACGGGCCTCTTCGGCCTTGGCATGCTCTGTGCGTTCATGCCCGTTCAACTCTACCTTGTTGAGACGTACACGATCTACGCGGCCAGTGCTATTGCCAGTAATACTGTCCTTCGATCCATTCTGGGGGCAGTCCTTCCCCTCGCCGGGCCAGAAGATGAACTCTCGGCCTAGGGTGGGGCAATAGTCTGTTAGGGTTTATTTCACTGGTCTTCATTCCTGTTCCTTTCCTTCTGGTGAGATACGGAGAGAGACTTCGGTCTAGTCCTCGATTCCAGGTCAAGGTGTAGGGCTCTCTGTACGGTACGGCAGCCCATGCTCATGCGGGGATCAGAGACTAGAACATTTGGCTCTATGTACCAATCCGATACCCTCTATAAAACGAATATATGCAGCATCGGCATGGTGATCAATGTTTCGCCATTCGTATATTATGGCTCGTTGACCTACAAAAGTACATGGAAGTTATGATGGGGGGAGAGGATAACCTGCGGACATCATAGCAAGAATGGTTTTCAAACAGATACTGTCTCTTATGATCGCCATTTATCATGAATTGTACATTACCTTTTTCCGCGTAAAGTTTCACGACCTGTAAATACGTACTAGGCTTCTCGGCATAGGGTTTGGGAATAAAACTGGAAAATTAAAGGTGAGCAGGGTAATTGTGCAAGCCAATGTACAATTCTCCTTATTGTCTCTCTCATACTCCTCTCATACGCAAATTTTATGCCCAGCAAATAGATGTCAGTGAGATATGCAAGTATGGGAGAGAGCATATGGTGCCCTAAGTGACCCTTACAGGTTTGCAACGATTCACTTAAGTGAATTAATGTCTGTGGCATAACCTTTCTTCGCTCAGCTTCTGTGCAATCGCTCTGCACGTATAAATACCTCGGTCCCAGAACTATATTTAGGCATGGACTCAGCTGTAGAATTAACGGCAAGAGGTCCACTAGGCTTCTTTTTCTTACTGGAAGACCTGGATTTGAACAGAATAGTTATGGAACCATGCAATGGTGAATTAGCCATTGCGCATGATGCTCTAGATTAGTGTGAACGGGAGAAAGATATGGAGGTCATCCTTGAGCTTTTACCTAAGGCCCACAAGCTATAAGCAATCCGATTCTTCTTAACAGGCCGGTCAAAGTTACGCATTCGCTCCAAGTTTGATCAAATTAACCCAAGCGATTATGAGAACACCATCCTACAGGACTTGGATGTTAATATAACAAAGCAGGACATCTCTTTATTTCTCATAGAAGAATTCTCGAAAATAACGCGTGAGCACCTAGGTGGCCCTACTTTGGACTGGCTGGGCCAGCTGTACAGCTCCAGCCTGATTTTCGCACCACAAAAAGCATTGATTAGGGGGAATTTTGTGAGAGAGCTTTCTGATTGGTTATCCAAAGGCCCAAAAGTGGAGGAGAATTGGAGTCCAGAATTGCAAACCTTAAGAGGGCCATTCTTATTGGTTTGGTCAGTCGCCTTCTCACAAGATGGCCAGCTTCTAGCATCTGGCTCTGATGACAAAACTATCAAGCTCTGGGATCCCACCACTAGCGCCCTCAAGCATACTCTGGAGGGCCATTCTGATTGGGTTCGGTCAGTTGCTCTAGCATCTGGCTCTGATGACAAGACTATCAAGTTGGGCGAGTTGCAAAGTTCTGACTCACCAGTATGACGTGAGTTTCAATAGCCTGCTCTCTCGTCTCCGCGATCACGACCTCCGGGAGCTTCCACCTTGGGGGTGCTGCGTATACGCTTCTTTGATCTCCCAGGTGTCTTGTTATTCCAGTCCTGTGTTCGTCCACCAGCGCAATTGTGCCCTGATGATGTCCTCCCGCTCTGCACGCGGTCTTCCAGCGGTCTCGTGCATGGGCTGTATCCCAGGTGGGGGCAGGTGTGCAGCCGGACTGCCACTGAGTCCAGGTGGAGTACTGTGCAGGCCTGTTTGCCTTCAGTCCTGCCTTTGATCTCGATCTTCCCGTCACTGGGGCCGGGCTATCGTTCAGAGTGGATTCTGCTCTCGCGGAGAGCCTCGTGGTCATCGTCTTGCTTCCTCGTGCTGGGGCCGGATCGGGAGGTCTCGGGGTCCTCCGTCCCTTCCCCCACTTGAATGTCTCCTTAGCACTCTGCACGTGACGTGAGGATCTGCTACGGATAAATAATTCAGCCGCCGACAGACATAGAAAGTTTCAACAGGGAACGAGACACAGACCTGGGCGAAGCCAAGCCCTCAATCCAGGCGCATATTGAAGGCAGAGATATGTACATAACAAATGTAGCTAACTGCGAAGCTGCCAAGCAGGTAGTGGAGTAGTCCCGCATAGCCATGGGTTTCATGAGTAGCTGGGACGGCGTAAGAGTAAATCCGAATCCGAATCCGAATCCGAAAAAGTTTCAAACCCAGCAAGGGCAGGCACCTCTACGCGGTGCTGGGGATTAGTATTCTTGCAGAGAGCTTCTTTGCAAGGAGAAGCTAAGACCTTCCCAAAAAGAGCGCATGGAAAATAGTCATGTTGTGGGGGAGAGCGCCGGGGTTGCTGCAAGCCAAGACATCCATGGTATGGCGTGCTAGTCACGTCTTAGCCAGCCCCATAGGATGCTCGCAGGTAGTTGATACGTGACTTATCTTCTGCTGATAAGGAGTAAGGGATCGAGAGACATTTTGTAAAGAACAGCAATTGCGAGCTTGTTGATTATCACTGCTTGACATGTAACCTGTTAGCTGATATTGCGTGACGAATGGGTTCTTGCAACCCTGCATATATATCTCTTAGAAAGCATCCTACCCATTGCAACCCGGGCCAGATGTCACAATAATCCATAGTAAACTCAGATATAATGTGATTATCCTCCTCAAAAGGTCAACATCGCGCAATGTACTCTCTCGGAAAAATGAAGCGTCCAGAATGATTCAGAGGTGGGTCGCCCCGAACAGCCTAATGGATAACTGCTAATAATGATTGGTCTTGGGCTCAAACCATGTGTCATGGGAAATAACCATGGTATGGTACTTGCACGCCGTCTAAAGCACGCAATTTTCCCGCTCGATCAAGACATGCAAAGAATAAGGTTGGATGACAGACCAGAAGGAAGAATTCTAGGTTCAAATATTCCTAGTACCTGCGCAGCACGATGGCCTGTAATACTCTAGATATTTCCTCGGTGGTTTTCACACGACCTAGAAGAACGGCTACAAAATGTTGAAGGCGCTTTCCTTCAGGAAATCTCCTGGTTCCTCGTTTGAGGAACAGGTACAACGAAAATGGTACCACACCACACTTTTCAATGCTTGCATCATCGGTGGTGTGGGTTTCATGGCACCGGGATTGTGGAATGCAATGAACTCGTTAGGAGCCGGAGGAGCACAAGAACCATATCTTGTCAACTCGGCAAATGCGCTGGTGTTCGCATTAAGTACGACATACATTTTCTGATTGTATGTTCCATGAAATACTAACCTGTCGTTTAGTGGGATTCTTGTGCTTGTTTGGAGGCCCAGTTGCCAACCGTATCGGGCTGAATTGGACGCTTCTACTCGGCGCGATCGGTTATCCAATTTATTCGTGAGTGTATTCGTTCGTGCAATTTGCTTGGAGTTGCAACCGCCTGACAGAATTGTGATCAGGGCTGCCCTATACACGAATAATCGATATGTCTGTAACCCCGGGCGACTGACTCTCAGAAGTATACTGATACATGGTTGTAGGGAAATGAGTGGTTTGTTCTAGTTGGCGCAGTAGCCTGTGGATTGTCGTAAGTATCACTTCTATCCCCTAGATTACGCACACGTCTCTGACTGAAGACCTAGGGCCGGCCTTTTTTGGGCATCCGAAGGCGCAGTGGCTCTGGGCTATCCTGAGCCTGGCAAGAAAGGCAAATACATGAAGTGCGACATTAACTTGCAAGCCCTCCATGGTTCGAAGGCTGATTTGGGGCAGCATCTGGCTCTGGTTCCGCACGGGTGGCCCCCTTGTTGGGAGGAGCTATTGTGCTCGGACTTAATCAGTGAGTATCGCCATAGTACAAGAGTGCTAGACATGTAATGGCTGACATGAATACAGCTCGGGGAATGCGAAGAGCAGAGGGAAGGTTGGATACGGTAGGGTCTCTTGTAGTTGCCGAACTGTCGACCCAGTGCTCATTAACATGTGATTAAGAAACATACCTGATCTTCGTTGCACTACAATGCGTTGCTGCGCCTTTAGCCATATTCCTATCTCCACCGGAAAAGGTCCAGCGGAGTGATGGAAGCAAGGTCAGGATAGTGCTGCAAAACTCCTGGCGCGCGGAGTTCCTTGAGCTCTGGAAGCTCTCTCGTCGGAAAGAGGTCAGTGCTGATCAAAGAAGAAATGCGTGTCATTGCTGAACTATTGCTTTAGGTTATGTTGCTCCTACCTCTGTTTTGGGCAGCATATTTCAACCAATATTCCGGAAGTATGCTCGTGCGTATCCGATATCAAGATGGGACATACTAAAAGACAATAGACTTCCAGACTTATTACTTCGGTGTTCGTGCACGCGCTTTGATGGGATTCGTCAGTATGTGAATATGCTCTTATGCGCTTTATCAAGCGATGGAACTGACTTGACTACAGCAAACTTTGCCAACCTCCTTTCCTCAGCGATTATCAGCCGATTCTTGGACTATAAGAAAATAAGTACGAAGAATCGCATAACCTGCAGGTGAGATTCTACGTCAAAAAGTGTACAGTGACAAATTAATTCCATTAGCTTTTTCTACGTTATTGCGGTGCACATCGTGGCATGGGTTTACGCCTGGGTGATACAAGAAAAGTACACAGCCAACCCGCCATCGTACGATTGGACGGACTCTGGATTTGTGGAAGGGTTCTTCGTCGTCTTGCTTTGGCGTATGTTCAGCAGAAACGTTTGGAGTTCCGGTATTAACATCGTCAACAGAGTTCTCTCAGCAAGCGCTGCAAAACTGGTGCTACTATCTGATTTCCACGATGACGGATAACATTTCCGAGCTATGTGAGTCACTTGTGATATCCTGTTATGCAGAGCTAATTGAATTTCAGCCCGGTTATCCGGTATTCTTCGTGGCCAGGAGAGCTTCAGCCAAGCCGTTTCTTTTGGACTCAACACTCGCAAGTGGCATGGAGGGCGGGTTCCTCTAGCAGTTAACACAATTCTACTTGGTA